TATCTGATGGTGGGAAGGGGTTCTAGTTTTTTTTTTTTTTTAAAGTAGGAAAATAATTTAGTATCCACATCTTCGTTTACCAGATAAGTTATTTACTATCCCCTTCTCCCATTCTTAGCAAATAATGTGAAGAAACAGTTTTTAAGTTCAAACGGTGCAATCTTCAGCTTATTGCACTGGGTGATTTTGTACAAAACTTGCTTAAAACAGTTTGGATAGTTTGTTGTTTAGTGTGTAATGCAAGCACAGTGTTTAATTTTAAGGGACTGTGGCTATTCCCATGTACACAGTATCATAAAAAAAAAACGAAAAGAAAAAAAACACAACCCCCCCCCCCTGAGCTGCCACTAACAGTCGCTGGAGGTTGAATCCTACTAATGTATACTGTTTTATACAAGCATACAAGGAATAGTCTGATATCAGACTCTGATAATGTTGCCCTGCAAAGGGCTCCTGGTGCATTTCAGTGAAAATACCATCACCTCCCTGGTTTTCCATTACTTGCTCTTCCTCCTCAGTTGATCAGCTTTTAATGCTTCGGCTTTCTTAAATGAATATTAGTGTTCAGAGGATGCCTTCACTGTGTGCATACAGTGATGCTCCCCCCCGCCATGCTCCCCAAGAAATAAACTTAGGGGGCTGTGAGGTTGCTAGAATTTTCTATTAGAAAGCACTAGATCTGTCTCAAGGACTGGCCTGTGTAATGTAGATTGTTTCTGGCTTCGTGTGATGTGATTGTGAGTCCATCAATTACAGTTTGTAAACAGTGGTTTCTGTCATGGGGTGGGTCACACTAAGGCAAAAGCAAAGAAACTACTTTATGATGAAGCATAATGTGTAAAACTTTTGCTCCCCTACCAGATTCCCTGAGGAGAAGGAATAATTAGTGATCTTCATTAATTCTAACATGTTTATTGAAGAAGTCCTGCATGTCAGAAGACATAGATCTTTAGTAGAGGGGCTTTTGTTTCTTTCCATAGTTCCTAAGACAGAAATCCTACAGGCTGGATGTTCTTGTTGTATTGTCATTCAGGATGCAACCACTAAATGAAATAGCTCCTCTTGTAAAAGTAGAAGGGATTACAAACATTCTGTAGGATATTTTTACTATTTAAGTCTAGGATTCAGAAAGAAGGTTTCCATACACTTCCATTCTTGGGTCTGAAGACCTCTGAAATGAGTAGCTGAGAGATTCTCAAACTGTAGAATTGCAAAATTTACTAGACAGAAAGTACAGAAATGCAGAAGATAAGGGTGGGGAACTTGTGTGAGGTGGAGAAAAATATTCTTCTACTCTTCTTGTTTGTATAGGATTCTCAGTCCAGTGAAGTAGAAGTTCTTTCAGATAAAGGCATTCGCTTCGTGAACATCCAGTGGGAGATTAAAAGGAAGTTCTTACAATATGAGATTTTGCTTACAGAACAATAGATGAACGATATATTCCACTACTGGATGGATGTGGGAGCTGTGAAAAATGGATTTAAGATCTGGATAAGTGCAATATCTTTTTAAGAATTAAACTTTCACTTAGGAGGCCAAACAGCTTATCCAGTGATGGAACAACATACTGTAATAATATTTTTAAAGTCAATGAGTAGGACGGTTATAAATAACCACAAAATTAAAGACCTGAAGATGGATGACAAGAGGACTGAGGAGAGGCTTTTTATATTGCTTTATCCTGAACTTTTCCACCAGAAGTTTGAAAAGTGAGGAATTACTAACACTGTCTACTTAATGGGTCCCATAAGTTCAAGGAAGACTACCAAAGAAGTATAGAATTGATCAGTTGTTGAATTTTGCTTATTTTATTTATTTAGTTTTCTATTTTGTTGTGTGAACAGTATGAACATCTTGTTGAAAAAATGGTACACAAACTCTGTAACTCAATGGAATTAGCTCCACCTTGTCTAAAGGCTCTCATATTTTTAACAGCAGCACTTACCTCAGATTGAAAACAAAGGTGAAGGCAAGACAAAGCAGAACAGGATGTGCTTCTTTTAATAAAAAACATCTAGGGTTGTTAACATCAACAGACTTCTCATGATTTATAAAAAGGTGTTTAAGAAGTTGTTGACAAAGGCAATAAATATGCTTTAAAAAATTGGTTTAAAAGGAATGGACAAAAAGGTGTTTTGCTAAATAGAAGGGTGGATATACTTCCTATTTTGCCCTGTAATTCAATAGCCAATGCTAGTGTATAGAGGGAAATGGCACAGTTGTGCAAAGTTTAGAGGAGATAAATACGGTATTATTCCCACAGCATCACTGTCAAAGTGGCTGCTATAGTTCTATAGAACTGGGCCCTCATGTGCTGTGGAGGAAAAGAAAGTTTTAAGCTGCTCTGAAAGTGATAGAAAAGCAGTGGGTGATGCTGAGGCATATCTGGTGGTGTCTGTGGCTCCTTGATTGAAGGAAGCGCCTGAGTGCAAGACTAGTGTGTTTTCAAAAGCTGGGTTATTTAGGTTGGAGGGTTTAGGAACTTCATACTGAATGAAGAATGAGCAGGATCACCGTCCTGTGTTGACTTCATCTCAGTATTTGGTCTGCAAATTTCATGGTGTCATTCATGGTTGGAAATGGAGCCGGGTGTAAAGGAAAATCTACCACAGTTCTCGATGAAGGTTGGGTGGTTTATTGTAGTGGGTTTGGTAGAGTCTGAGGGATTGGTGATTTTGGCAGTTTGAGGTGGAGGAGGCAATTTCTTTGTAACTGTTCGACGTTCAACATGTGGAGGCAACAGCGATGTACCTGCAGCTGTTAAAGTTTAGTTTGCTCATGGTGTGCAGGGTTGTACTTACAAGGGTATTTGTGCCTTGGAAGCTGTTCAAGCTAAATTCTTAAGATTTCTACTTTGAGTGCCCTGTTCTGTTGCTACTGCACTTTTCCAGCTGAAGCTCAGCTGGATTTCCTTTGAGTTCAGCTGTAACTCTGCTGGTTGAAATGTTGGCTTCAATATATTTGAGAAAGGGGGAAAAAAATGTCAGTCTAACAACTCCCAGGTGTGCTTATCTCAGACATGAAGCAGAGTCCACTGGAGTTGGGTAGCCAATACATTTAAATAAATAATGATGAATAAGTTTCTAATGAACTTCTGTGTTATATATTTGTTTCTCCTTTTGTTTTAATTTTTGTGTGTTTGGTCTATGACCATATACTTCGATGAACTCAAAGTGAATTGACCTAATTCTAACAATATTTTTTTTCCAGTGTACTTTTTTGGAACTATTAAATCTACCCCAGTATCATTATTGAGCCCTGTCTGCTTTTCATCCCAACTCAGCTGCAAAAATATGAGTCAGTGGACAATTCTAAATCTGTATAAATTAAAGAATATGGAACTATATAACAGTCTCCTTGACCTCCTTGCAAGCAGTTTCAATTATTCATCTTATTTCTGTATGGAAACAGTAGTGTTGTGCAAGTTCCTTGATATTTGTTGGTCAGGCCCCAGTTTCTAACTTTTAATTTAGCAGATGCACATTGCATCTTTTAAAAAAAAAAAACAGAATTAGTATTGCATTAGCAAAGACTTTTTAGCAATCTGGTCTCATGTGATGGGGCAAGCCAATTTTAACCAAACATTGGGTAGGTAGTCTATGTCAAAAAAAAGAAAGAAAGAAAGAAAACCTGCACACATATACAAGAAGGAGATTTTGAAATGTATATATTCAGCATTTCCTCAACTGGAAGTGGTAAATCCTGCCCAGAATATTCTGTATAAATGACAGTGTGCTCCTCTTGATCCATCTCTTCCTTTTTGTTCATATTGGATTGCATGCACTGAATTGTGTATATAACCACAGCTTATGAGATCGAAAGTATCAAGTTAATGATCTCCCCATGAGCTTTGTTGTGCTTCCAAAAAAGTGACTACCCCCCCAGAAACAACTATGATAAAACTAAAATAAAATATTAAGGATACAGAAAGTAGGATTTCAAGGAAGCTATAATTTAACTCAAAACAGAAGCTAGGATGAGGCTGCATTTATTTGAATGGTATTGCATTATTTGATATATCTCTGACATTCTGTTCTCTTTTCTACACAGTGCACTCTGCAACTTTCAGAATCATTACTCCTTATTCACTCTACATCTGCCCTGAAGGTCAAAGTGTCACTTTGACTTGTAAGGTCAGTGGTTTTTTGGCCAACCAGCATGATAGCTTCTCCAGAGCTTGGTACTTCAGCAACAAAGATGACCATAGGTGTTCTCAGAGAAAGCATATTCGCAACATCATTGTTAAGGACCTTCATCATGAGGTTAAGAAGCACCACGGGCAGCCTCATGTGAATGACACTGTTGAGAAAGATGCCCACGAGCATCAAGTGAACCATCATGAACTGAAACACTCTTGGACTCCTCATGGCACTTTCTACGTCACTATAGCAAATCTTACTCTACAGGACAGAGGATACTACTGCTGTTATGTAGCAGAGGTTAAGAAAGAAAACAACAAGCCCCATATCCAGCAACATGCATATGGCTTCATGGAACTTCGTATACAGAAAGGTAGAGCACTGTGCCCGAAGCAGATATAGTTAAAACGATGTATCTATATTTCTCTGTCACATTCTCCTAGAAATGTAATTCTAGATGAAGTGGCCTTGATTAAATTTCCGAACTGTAGATGAGAAGAGGGTCAAAACAGAAAAGAATGTTTAAGAGGGAATTATGTTAGAGGAAACTTTTCTTTTTGCTTCCTGTATCAAAACAGGTTTTGATAACAGTGAAAGTGGAGTCCCTTTCTTACAATTTTTGAAGAGTTTTTGAACAAAGGGGAGGAACACTTTCCCTTGAACTGGAACTGTCTGAGATGTTAACAACTTAATGAGTACATGCATCTGTTTGCTTGAAATTATGATCTATATCCCATTTTCTGATGAGAATTGATCTGAAAAATATCAGATCAAATCGTCCCTTTATTTACATATTGACTTACAGTATGTATTTATTAAATTTGTATACCAATAATATCAGTCACCTTTATTTGATGTGCACCTTCTAAAAATGAAATGTACATTTCTTTTTGAGTATTGAAGCATTAGTATTCAGAATATAGCAAACAGGAATGCATTTTTCTAGAATTATGATTATCGAAAATCCCTGACCAGTTAAGGGAAATTAATTATATTATTATGGTCGGTGACCAAAACTGAGTACAATTTAAAGAAAAACTGAATTTTAAAAATGGAACATTATAAAAATGAAATAAGATGCTTAAAAATAAATATATATATATACAGAATTCCCTGACTAAATAATTCATCATTACTTTAAATTCGTTTGATTTAAGCCAAATCTATTCTATTTGCATCTACTTTGGGAGAAGGTGTGTTTCTCTTCTAGTTCTGGTCATCTCTCTCTCCCGGTGCTTTCTCTTTTTAAGGGGGTTGTTAATTTTTATTTCCAATCTTTGCATTTGTAAAGTTAAAATAATAACATAATGCATCAGATTAAAAGGAGAAGATCAATTTACACGGTTTGCCACACAGTCCTCTGGTGGATGTATTTGAACTATGTTTTGGGAAGGGGGGTATGCCCAAATAGTTATGCTTGGAATGAAATTCAAATTTCTTTCCTAGAACTTAATATCTGATAAAGTCTGGGAAAAATGTCAGATCTGAGGCCTGATATCCTCAACAGTACTAGCAATTATGATCTAGCAGATTAAGACATCTGCTGCATTCCGAACATCCTGATCCCCCAAATCAGAATAAGGCTTTCAGCTGAATCGAAACATCACTGGTTCTGACAGTTAAGATAATAATGCCAAACTAAAAGTTGGAGAGGAATGATTATATTAAACTTGATCTGCAATTGAATTAATCACAGAAATTCTCTACCTAGCAGAGCACTAGAAAAGAGTGAGGAGTGATAATACACAGCAGAACAAAAACAACCCCCCCTAAACAGAATCCTATATAAAAAACTAATTTAAATTTCAGACACTTCAAATTAAACTAGCATTTCTTGAAGATATTACAATTAAATAGGTTTTTAAAGATTTATTAATGAATGAGAATCAAATTTCCAAGAAACTAACATTTTACTACTTTTTTTTTTTTAATTCACAGCAAATGGTACATTTCCAAACTGTACATTTCATCCTGCTGACAATACGGAGAGTGAAAGTAAGATTACTTTACCACACGCTCATAATTGCATTATTTTCAAGGGTATATATTATTTTTTGACATATAAATCCCCTGGAACTTGACATTCTAGTTAAACGTTTAGGAATTTAATCTTTTGTTCTTGTACCTGTCTCCTTACATTAACTTCCAGTCTCCTACTGCCTAATGTCCTCTTATTTATTTTCCCCAATCTTGAAGCTATTTATCTTATGTCTTCACTTACAAACTTGAATTATCTTCCCATTTACAATGATTTCCAAACCTTCCTTCTGGATCTCCACTGATTCTTCCCTGTCTCTTGCTCCATTACATCTTTTATAATCTTTAGCTTCTACAGTGGTCTAATCCACATCTAATGTAAACTGTCCACATCTAACATAGACAGGGATCAAAGATCAATAGTCTATGTTAGTTACGGTGCTTAAGATGCTGCTAATGTTCTGTCTTAATTAAAACAAAGGTAGTAATTGGTGTTTTTTTTTTCTTCAAATGCAACACAAGGACAGAGTGGGAGATAGTGATTCACTGGGGCAATCGAAAGTTACAGATTCTCAAAGGAAGTCACTTTTTTCTAGGAAGTACTGATTTGCAAATCTGACATATTTATCAATGGAAGTAATGTGTAACAGAGAGTAAGTAAGTTAATTTATTGTTGTAACCGCAGGTTATAACATATAACGTACTATAAAATACAATAAAATAACAGAATTATAAATAGAAAAGTAGAATAGTAAAATGAAATGATTTTTAAGAAGAAAGAGTATTAGATGAGAAGAAAAGAGTATTAGATTAGAAGATAAAGCCAGAGCTGCAACTAAGAACTTAAATATTTGTTTCTAAGTTTAAATCACAGCAGAGCAAATGTAGCAGCATGGCTGCTAACAGTCGGAAATATGTCTGCCAGAAGGTAGTTCAAGGCCTAACAGTTTGAGTCCACCTACCATCAATAATTTGGCCCTAATCTCATTGTAAATGGAGCAATGGAGGACATAATGAATAATGTCCTCCACTTGACCAACACCACGAGAGAAACAATGTTTTGTAACAGAGAGTAGTTTATCTTAATGATTTAGCTTAAATGCAGATAAATGTAGGATTATTGGCATAGTGATATTTTAGACTATTGTATTCAAATGCTTGAGAAAAAAATGAAACGTAAGGTCTGTAGTTATGACATAGCAGACTGCTGCATCAGAATATTTTATATGGTGTAAAAGGGTTCTTTCTTCTTTCTTGCCCACAAAATTGATCAAGCACTGACATGAGGAAAGTCAGAGTTTAGTTAATAGAATGCATGACCAAGAAATAATGGAAGTGTGCAAAAGAAACAGGCAGTGGTCTGTGTTCCCCATTTTATTTCAATGCTCAATTGCATTGAAATGACAACATAAGAGCACGCTGGAGAAAATCCAGAAAAAAACCCTAATCATTCGTTATCTTAACTAACTTTTTATTGATACTTGTTAATTTTGTCATGGATATTGTACTGTATTTGTTCTTCAAATTGAGGTAGCTGTAATTTGGATAAAAAAAGCTGTTTATGCCTTACAACTTGCCAACATTCCATATATGTTACTGTTACTGTCTTCTCCTAAATGTAATTAAATTCAATTTATATCTATAAATTTACATAATATGTTCCAATTTGAATTTACATGCAATTATCAGAATTTTGATTTCCTTGTTTTATTTGAGTTGGCATAGAAATTTAGTGAATATTTGTAACTCTTAGAAACAGGACCTCCAAATGAAACTGAAATAATAAAACTTCAGGAATATATAGTCTAACAAGTAAAGCAAAATATTTTGTATTCATTAGTTCTCATGGATCAGAATCAAGGGGTAATAAAACCAGAAATTGGCTGTTCATTGACTTAGTAGATTTTGGATTGGATCTTTGCTGGTAAATATTTTTTCCTCTCTTGATATATTGATATATTCTATATTTATAAATGAAGACAGAACAAAATCTCCTTATGTCAATATTTCTGATATAGACACAATAATTAGAATTTTTGAGATAGGGAGGAAGATCATCTCTAGTGAGTCTATCTGAAAGTTTTTGTTTGTTTTTTTAAGTGTGTGGAGATCTCCTTGAGAGAGTCATCTCAGGGAAAATGAAGGCAGGAACACGTTGTTAGTATTGGCCCTGTTTAATGTTATTGGAGGCTGGAAGTGGAAAGAAAGTTTGGATTCATCTGAAAAACCAACAGAATTGAAAAAAACTTGGTTTGGACCAACAGAGTTCAGTGCTTAGGATTAGGTATAGAGAGTAAAGAAGGTACCTTGATGGAGACAAGCCAGATCCGTCTGCAGAGCGATGAGGCAAAAAGCCCAACTCACATCCAAAACAATCTGAGGGGAGGAAGAAATGACTCAGGCAGACACCTCCTTAGAATCATAGGAGGATAAGAGGTGGGGGGAAGCAAAGCACAGTCAGACTTACAAGATTCTGTTACAATAGTCCATCTTAATAAAAGTATTTTAGACTTCTCTGAAGTTTGTTTCTTAGTGTGGTATATACTGTGGGGCTGACATGAGAGGCCACTGTGGTCTACACGAGTGCTGTCTTCCTATCTAGGTTTCCCTCCAGGTAGATACCCATCTTGGACAAAAAAGATAAATATGGAAGTTTGTTAATGTACTAATAAATCTGTTTCCTGGCTATTTCCTTGCCTTAGCTGATGGAGATCATTTGCTGTTGTGGTTAGATCTCAGTATCCATTATGATACTATCGCTAATCAAGATAGTTCAGAACTTCATGGCCGCCAATTATGGGGTTGTCCCATCATATTTTCAGCCCCCACATATTCTGTTATCCAGTATAGTATGACCTCCCGTTCTGCATGTGAATTTTCTCCTGAGCAGGAAGTTGGCAACCTAATAGAGACACTTTCTTATCACAGTAAGATAATACCCTATTCAGTTTTGAACTCATGGTGTCAGCCTTCCTCTGCAAGGCTGGGAGACCCAGTGGCTGATAAATTTTAACTGAATCCAAATGGCTCTGAAGGAATGACATGGTTGACACTCCAGTTGCAGCTCTGATCAGCCTGTGAAATACAGATATGATCTGGGCGGTTGATACAATCCCTCCAAAGTGTCTGCTTAGCGCTTCTGAGGACACCAGTCAGAGTTCTTTAGGAGATGAGGATGGCAAAGAAACATCTTCCTCCATCTCAACAATCTTAGCCAGCCACTCTTCTAGTAATGGGGATGTTACTAAATCTGTTTTTGAGGATGGAGTATAGAATCCATGCAGATATGTTTTGACAGTTTAGTGAGAGACTGAGGAAAAAATTACTTCTGTCAGGCATAACGTGACTTCTGTATATTGTACAATTTTGTGGGTTGATAGAGGCGAATATGTGTACCTCCCACATTTGTGGGATGAACTTTGAGTCAGTAGGGCCAAAGCGACAGGCTTCATGTAATCATGTGATCATTCAATATTTGCAAATCTTGGCTGATTATTTATTTATTTAAATGGTTTATAGGGCTGATGTAATGGTATGTGGGGATGACCTTGAAAGGCGAGGGGAAGAAATGCTGCCTAGGGAAGGGTCAGATAAGAGAGGACATAGCCCGTAACTGCATAACAGGTAGAGAAAGAAACTCAAAAAACTTCTCAGGCTGTAAAAGAGACAGTGGGAGATTTGGACTATCACACTTGCAAGAATCTGTTAATGTAGCCTTACAATAAAGTAGAATTAGCTCATCTGGTTGTGTTTCCTGTCTGATCTACCTGGGAAGGCTGACAGCTGCCCATCTCACAGTGGTAACTCTGAGTGGCCTTATATCTGATGAAGGTGGGACAATTAATTGGACCCAGGAAGCAATTAATTAGGTTTTAAGAAAGGATGAGCCCTGTTTTCTTAAAGGAAGCAATAGCAAGCCAAGTCCCTAAGAAACCATCCAATCTTCTTCTTCAGCAAGATGCTCAAGTGTGTGTACAGACCAGATTCAGGCTGTCTTAAATGAGGTTTGCTTTTGGTAGCAAGGGAAACTTTGTTTGAGTGACAGAAGAGTGGAAATGGCTGATGTTTATATTAGCTTTGTATCTGTTTTATATTATGTTAAAGTTACCTGTTTTAGATTTTAATTAATATTAGCTGGTTTCTCTTTGAAGGTTAATGTGCACCATTGAGAGAAATCATTATATAAGAGTGTGATAAATGTAAATAATAAATTAAAATTGTCACTGTATTTCTCTCAAAGCCGCAGTGCCTTCTGGCTTGCACTGTGGGCAGAAATTCAACACTGGAGGTTTTAGCACTGAGAGCTGATTCAGGTCAGACTTGATAAATTTCCCTTCTGTCTCCTTCCAGGTGCAGCTGTCAATTTCATTTCCGTTTTAAATTTACTGCAGGGTAATATGCTAATCTACAGATAATCTTAAATATGGTTAGTGAAACAAGCATAAGCTGTGTTTGAGTAGCTTGTAGGCTAGAAACTGGGAGACCATGAGTTCTGGTCTTGCTTTAGGCGTGAAGCCAGCTGGTGACTTTGGGTTAGTCACTCTACCTCAGCCCTAGGAAGAAGACAAGGGCAAACCATTTCCAAAAATCTTGCCAAGAAAACTGCAGGGACTTGTTCATGTTGGTGCCAGGAGTCAACACTGACTCAAAGGCACAAATAAATAAATAAATAAAGTTTGCAAAATAGTAAAGCATGGGGTAATTGCATTCAAGTTCTTCCCATTAGCCTCACTACTGGCCATGCGGATTGTATTTTAACAATATCTGGAGTGAAAGGAAATGTCTTTCCCTATATTAATGGCTATTAATTCAGTATTTGGATGAAGGAAACAAATTTCCTACTTTATTTTATGGGATTCCCTTGAAGTTACAGACATTGTTACTTCAGATATAAATTGCTACAGAAAAAGGACTGGAATGGACAGTCAATAACTGTAACTCAGAAAATGAGGCCACAGCCTCTAGTGAGGAGAAAAATGTGCTTCCTTTCTGATCTCTATATTGTGGTTTGTTTTTTCAGATACCACAGCAGTCACAATTGCAACAGCAGCTTGCATTATAGGCATTCTGTGTCTGCCTCTTATCCTACTCCTTATTTACAAGCAGAGACAAATAATCACTAACAGGCGTAAGTATTCCAGTTACCCCCGTTTTTTAGTCACTACTTTGGTTCTTATTTCTTACAGACTCAGTATTCCATGTAAGGTGATACAACTGCCATTCCTCCCATTTATTACATTCATTATTACATGAATTCCATGAATGATATCCAGTCATTTAGGGAAAAATTATGGTTACTAGTGGGAGGTTATGTGTTCCTCCAGCGAGAAATGATGTTTTGGGATTCTTCCTTGATTTTTCCCTCCATCTACTGTTCTACTCTACTGTAGACAGAAGGGGAAAGCTAGGGAGAGATTATGGATGCACCGTGTTTTCTACCTAAAACACTGACATGAATTCTGTATTGCACCTCGGTAATAGGTGAAGAACAAGCTTCTTAAAAATTGGTGTTGCACAAATAAAAGCTTTCATCAACGACTCAGCACTTCATTTGGTTTACTACACTTTCCAATAAGAAACACAGTAGGTGCATATTTCACAGTGGTTCTATAGCTACTCATTCATGCATATGGGAAATTTGCCTTACGTGGAAGGCCCTTTTATATTAAAGGTCATTATTCCACATCTGGATTTAGCTTGCTTTTCAGTTTCACGTGAGCCACTGCATGTCTACATTTCTTGTGTTAAAGTAGCACAGGTAACATGCTGATGAAATAGTTAATTTTTTTATTTAAATATTTGTGAACAATTTCTAGTCTCAAAATACATTTGCAAATGAGCCAAATTCTTTTTGCATTTACAGAAGACAAATACTTGTGAAACCACACTATTCTGCCTAGAAAGGTCTCTGTTTAGGAATCCATTAGTGAGAGGTAGTTACATTACTGAAACTAGTAGCACATGCAGTAGAATAAATAAGATTTTGAAAGATCAAAGAAGTCACATGAGATGTCTGTCCTAGTACTAGTAATATCCATTTACCTTCTGGTCAAAATTTGCTCTACTTTGCTGTAAAGCTATTATATATCTGTTTTAGTAATGTATGCCAAAATGTGATGAAGCAACCAGTATACTCATCAACTAGATTAATCTTTCCCAACTTGGGGTCCTCCAAATGTGTTGCATAACTCTCATTGTTCACACCCTCAATGAAGAATTCACTTGTTGGCTAATGGCAAAGGGAGTTGTAATCAGCATGACTTAGAAATACCAGGTTAGGAAAGGCTTCTCTCCCATATATTTTTGACTGAGAATAAACATAAACTACTAAAGGCAAAGTGAACACCTAGTGAGAATTACCAGATTCTTGTTAATAGGTGGCTGCTGGACTTTTTTGTTCCATCTGGTTCTTTCTGACAGTGAATATCTACATGCTGGCTGCGGAATTCTAGGAGTTGAAGTCCACACAACTTAAAGTTGCTGAGATTGGGAAGCACTGATCTACAGATGTGTATACCTTTTTGGCGGTTACAAGCAGGATGTTACTTTTGCTGCATAGTAGGAAGAGAGATGTAGTGGGCAATTGAAAGAATGGGATGCAAAACAATCATTGTCCATCTCTCATAGTGTTTTGCAGCACTTATAGAAAATAGCTGATTGGCTGCAAGCTGGGAACCTTGGTCATCACTCAGCATTGGGCAGAGCTGGTGCAAGTTACTGTTCAAAAACATCTGAAGGACCTCATGTTGCTCATCACTGCTGTTCTTAGCAAAGTCAGGTTACCGACTATTTCTGCCTATGCCTTAACACTGTTGTTGAAAGTAACTACTAGATCAGTGTAAACTAGAAAGCAAAATCAAATTCTTACTACTTCCTTCCTATACATATTTCCATACTCCTGATTAGTTGCATGTAAACTTGAATTCCAGCTTTTCTTGCAGCATAAAGCCAAACTATTTCACATTTTGTGCTTATTGGAACATATAAGAGAGATTCAGCTGATGTCCTGTCACTGAAAAACCCATTCTTCCCAGATGGAGAAAACCATAAATTTCACTCACTAGAAACCTCTCTCCCCTAAACAGAGTGGTTCAGACAAGGTTATGATCACATGTATAAATAAATAAACATTTAAAGAGGAATGGAGTGCCTAGGAGTGAAAACTTCTGCATTTAAAACTAAAAATAGAGGAATAGTTTGTGGATATGACTTGAATAGTGCCAGCTGTTCTTTGCAAATGATAGGTCAGGTAATGGAGATCACCGTGTTGTAATGATTTGGCCATGTTTTAATTTTAGTTTTATCCTGAAGAAGCCTTTTCAGAAACATAAATGGGTAAAACAAAGGATTCAGCTCCTGAACCCAGCTAAACCATTTGGGTCAAGTATCTGTATGCCATATGAATGAGTACTTTTCAATTCTCTGCTTCAAAACATCAAGCCAACAAGTGCTGGACAAAAGACAAAGGAATTAGTTGCTTAGGAAAAGCAAAGCAAACAGTCTCTACTGAGGAAATAGAAAAGGGCTCCATTCTCTTATATGCATGATAGTACCTCTAGCTATTGGACAGATCTCATGGTCAGAAAGGTTGTGTTTGAATTCAAGGGACTGAATGATACTTGGGTTTTTCTGTGCCTGAAAGTCTGAGATCTGAATGTAGTGAAACAGGACTAGCCACTCTTACTGCAACAAAATTGCATTTCTTTTTGTAGGTGCTCATGAACTCGTAAGAATGGAAAGGTAAGCAACTACCTTTAATTGTAGCATATATTTGTTATTCCACAATTTGGCTTACGAAACCACTTCCGGGTGACACAATACATCAAGACTTATTAAACAATAAACAAACCATTTTCAAAAGTCTCCTTTATAAAAGTTTGAAGGATGTATGTCTGGCAGTTCTACTTTGAAGAGGAGTTCAACAAGAAGATACCACTGATAAAAACACCTTGGCTGTGTGAAACATGCTTCCATTGGTGTCTGGCATACAGCCTATTCTCATTTTTTAAGAATGCTGACTTAGTGGAGGCTTTTCATCCGGGCTGAGTTATTCCCCGAGATAAAGCAAAATTTCCTTTGAGTAGTACTCTTTCCTAGTGACTTCATGGACATGTCCATATCGCTTTTTTTTTTTTTAGCAACAGTACAAAAGTGGTTTTCTACTGGCTTCTTCCAGAAAGTTTTTTTCCCCCAACTTCCGAGTCTAACTTACAATCCTTATATTTCCCAGAGATCTCCCATCCAAGTATTAATGAGGCCCAGTTTTCAACCCCAGATAAGGTCACCCTGATACTGCCATCTCCTGAGACACTTCTTGAGGCACTTTTTGGATGTAAAAAGTCAAGATAGTGTCTTGAACTGAACTTGAAATGAAGTGGAAATCAATTTTCTCAAAATTGGTAGTATTTGTTCCATGATTGCCCAGCAGTTGATGGACGGAAGCCAGAGCAACAAAGTTCATCAACCAGTCATCTCTTCTCATAGCTTCAGGAAGAATGGTGAATTGGCAAACCAACTGTACTGTGCATTTGTAGCAGGACTCTAATGCTCTTCAAGGACCCATCCAAACCCATTAGCCCTTTTCATCTATTGCCTTGGAGGAAAATGAGGTGACTGCAGTGACTTGAAAGAGAGGTGATAGGAAAAGGGGAAGAGTCAGCATTAGGGTGTCATGGCAGTCTAATTTTCTGCTGACTTAAGGACTTTAACTCAGCAATTGGGGAAAACCCTAATTTGAATAATGCCACATTCTTCGTGCAGTGTTAATGCAAAGCAGGCCTGTTGCTATAGAAGGAAACAAGAAAGTTCAATTTCCTTCTCTGCTTAGGCCTTTGCTTATTTAATCAGAAGCCTCTCCAACATGCAGCTTTCTCTAGCTCCACCTGACTTTTCCTTTATTAGTCACAATTAAAATGGCATGCCATCGTTAACAAAAATGAATGTTGCTGCTGAGGGTCATTTGTTATGTTACAAATGTTAAAAACAATAATAGATTTCTAATTGGTTTGTATCTGACTCATCATTCTGATCCCCCAACACGTGTTATATTGCATCATTCTCCACCTCCCTATCAATGGCAGAGTCACAAATAAATTCATATTTCATATTTATAGTTTTCTGACATTTTGCTTAAAGTAACTGGAATGCTAGTGAAAGGAGGGGACTTGATCTTGATGAGGTTAGCCCGAATGTGCTTTCTTTTGTAGCAACACCCATGGCATTGAGAATCCTGTCTTTGATGCTGTCCCTGACATCGATTCAGAATCCAGGCCTAAGCCACAATTAAGTTTTATGGCGAGTCGTCAGGCTTCAGAGTCAGATCGACACCTTCTCTCAGAACCAAATACTCCACTCTCACCCCCAGCCCCAGGCCAATGTTTCTTCCCATCACTCGGTAAGTATTTAATTGCAGGGTGAGTGTATGCTATTTGCTAGCAGCAAGCATAACTGTATCTACATAGGCCTCTGCCATTGGGGAAAAGCTTTCTTGTTCAGAAGGTGCTCATAGCCGTGTATTGTGAATATGTAGAGAGTGCCCTAAATCTTCTCAAATGTTTTGTGCCTCTAATTCGAGAAAAATCAAGGATATGAAATATAATTCTCCCACTCTAGAGGGTCTTCTGTGAGCAAAAACTTTCATTTAAGTACACTGGAACCTGGAACCAAATTAATTCCACTGGTGTGGGCAGAAAGGAAGCAATCAAATAGGAGTGGGTAGAACTTAAGATGTTTCCTAACCTCTCTGTAGGGACCATGTATAGTTCCCAAAGGTTAAAGGCTACTTTAGATTTTCAGAGAAATAACTTCAAGTAAAACAATAATGAGTCTTGTGGCACTTCTTATGTCAACAATATTTGTGGACTAAAATTAGCTTCCACATTAACTGATGCAGAATTGGCAGTAAATATCCTCCCTCTTTGCTGTATACCTACAATTTTGAATGTCACTTCATGCATCCGATGCCATTTCCTAAAAGCTTATAATATAATAAATAGGTTGGTTTTTAAGCCTTCAGAAGATTGTATTACTTTTGCTGTTGTAGGCAACACCAGACAAAGAATTTTGTAGACTGACTGTTGTCTCTGAGGCATTTAATGGGAAGCAACCACTGTTCCCATTTATTGGTGCCATTTTCCCCTTTACTTTTAATTGTCAGGTGGGAAGAAATGGACTAAACAATTTTCACATTTAAATAAGTGTAAACTTATTTAACAAAAATAACTTGTTATTTATTTTAACAGCAAAATCCAGGTTGAATGTATTAATCGATATCATTAATATTTTCCAGAGTCTGTTCCTGATTCACCGACTTTAACAAAAGTCAAATAAAGGAAGATTGCTTATTCTGAATTTTTGACAGCAATGTGAACAAGGTTTATTATTTGCTGCTTTAAAGGAGAAAGAGAGGCAGAAACAGAGGGAAGCAAGAGAGAAGTTTTTAGGAGACTATTTCTAAAGGAAAGAAAAGACTTTCTCAGAAGTGTCTGTTGCCTATCCTAACATTTCAATATATTGCTGTTCTCTTTCTTCTGAAACAATTCAGCATGGAAAATCTGGAAGACAAGGAAGTATTGTACCCTCCTAAGATTCTGCAGACTTTGTATTTTACTTCACTGAGATGTTGATCACTTTATGAAGAGTTACTGAAACATGTTTCTAATGTGTTGTATGGATTAATTAGATCAAGACCATGTTACATTTTTTAACTATAAGGCATTATGAATAACACCACAAAAAGCCTTTTTAGAAAACATTACTCTGCATTCCAAATGCCTTGGTTCCCTAGAAACAGAAAAGTTTTACATGTACTATAATTTTTTTTTTTTTACTTTGCATATGTATCCTTTTAAAGACTGGACATTGCACATGTTTTAACATCGTGATGTTTTGCTTATATCCTGGCTTTGGAAAATCAAACACAAAATGAAATATCTCCATATCTGACTCTAGTTCTAATTCATTCTCTTTCTTGCTCCCTTTTTATCTCCTAATGATTTAAAGAAATCTGAATGAAGGTTCCCAGCTGCGTAGCTATATTAGACATAAATATTATAAGTAAGATCATGTTGAAAATCATGAAGGATAACCTTGTTAGAATATAAAAACTGGATTTCAGTTTAGCTCTATCAAACAACAGGTTACTTTTACAAATTGTTTCAAAACCATTTTAAAGAGGGAACTGTATTATAGATTTTGTTTAGATGATAGCCATGTGTTCATGATCATTTTTGCTATCATTTATCTTATGCTTGGTAAAAGATTTTGGCTAAGTAGCCAGAGAAAATGCTTTAAGTGAAGTGCAAGGTTCTTTCCAGTTGATTGTGTATTATAGAAATAATTCACATTGCTATCTTTAAGTTAAGTTGGCTGAAGGAAGATAATGTCTTTAATAGGGTAGAATGTACAAGTAGTTTTTGTCAGAGATACAAACTGGCCCACAGCAATCAGTATTTAGGGTTTTTCAGTCCTAGTTCTCAAATAAGAGATCAGCTGTTCTGTCTAGCTTCACTCTAAATATAAGAAAGTCATATGAAAAATGGGTGATGATATTTATAGTATGTCAGGGGTTTCACTGACTTGTATTAGCCAAGATCAGTCAAGTTAATTTGATGCTAATGCCTAGAAGTGCCTTATCCCCTTCTGGCAGTAACATTACAACAAAGATAAATTACATAGTTAACCATCTGTAGCGGTTTCATAGCTAGCTGCTTGACATTGTCTAATGGTAGGGCCAATTCTTGCCTTTTTTTCAGGGTGAGGTATGACCAATCTTTCTCTTTAACAATTCTGTTTTTGAGAGAATTGCTGCAATGTCTTCTGTGGCTGTATGTATTCTGATAAACTACACTTTCCTAAAACTCATCCTTATTAACCATATGAAACATTCCTATACTGTATGTACCTAGTAAAATTGAGTGTACAGACCGTTCAGCATTAAAGTAGAAATTTTTGCTCAAGAACAAAAATTAAAGAAAAAAAGGAGATAAGATCATTAACGATGTGAAGAGACTGTATTCTTTTCAAATTGTTCTGTTTGCTTCCTCCTGCTTGGTGATTACTTAACTTGTGTACAAGCAAACTCTTCTGACACGCCCTTGGAATAGGTTCATTGTTTTTGTGTTTTATTTGCTTTTGATTGTATGACGATACAATAAAGGTTTAATGTGGCTATATTTTTCTTTTGTGACAAAAAGAGCAATATCTAGTAAAAAAAAAAAAAAAAAAAGTCAAGCTAAATCCATGCCAGAGACTTCGGTGCTCTCAGACACAGATGATCAAATTAGTTCACACACCTTAAAGTTACCAAGTTTGAAAAACACTGCTGTAAACAATTACACTATATTTTTATTCAGCAGTAATCAAACCACTAAAGGTGAGGGGGCAGAGAACATACAAATGGCCATACTTTGTGAATTTTGTTTCCTATTTAGATATTTAACATAATGCTTAATGTAAGATTTAACCAGTTTTCCTGGTTTCAGTGTCAGCCATTTTACAAACAAAAGTATTCCTCTTCATTTATTCTCCTTTGTGTTGCCATTAAAAACAAATATCCTTCATGGAGTAAAGATGAGAGAATCCTGTTCTAGAACATCAGATATGAGTAGGTTACTTGTCTACAACTGGTAGAAAAATATGGAGAAAACATAATATTCTGGAGTATGGTGTGGGACTAGAAAAGCGGACAGATTGTAGGAAAGTATAATCAGTGTAATAATTAGATCGAGACATTAATAAAAGGTGGGCACTGCATATACTATGATTTTGTTTATGTAATTTACAATAAATGAGTAAAGGGAGCACTCTAAATAATTTCCTGTATTTATTTATTGCAAACTCATGGCTTGCAAAATTGAAAAAATGTGCAGTGTAGTATAAATATATAAATAATAAAACAAAGATAATAAATCTAACAGCAACAACACAAAATTAAAACATCCACAGTGAAGAAAATTCACTTATCCCCTGAGATCAAATTAAATTATAATTGACATCATTCTATCTACCACAAATAACATAAAAACCCAAATTATTAAAATAAATACATTCTGTAAATCTTACTGAATTCAACAGTGCAAATTCATCAATGTTTAGGATCTCCTAAAGTTACTAAGTGAAGAAATTGGTACTATGTGTCTGATGCTTGTTTTGGATCCAATACTTAACTAGAGCAACAAGAAGGAGCCAAGAATTATAAACTAAAACTAATTGCTTTTCCATCAAAAGGCATTATTTATTTGGCTGTAATTTTCAGAAACAACAGACAAAAAGCTAATAGAGCAGATTCTGAACAAATTCCACCAATGCATAAGCAGAATGTTAGTATGTTCAGCTGTATCTAAATAGTTAATTTCATATTCAAATGATAATTCTACTGGACCCACAAAAAACTGTGCATAGTTTGGCAGCAGTAATTGTATATTTTAATCGGTGCTAAAAATACTTTCTAGGGAAGATATACTATTGAACTCATTAAGATTTATTTCTGGTAAGTGTTTATGGAATTGAACTGAGCTGGCAGAACAATTGGAGCCAGTACTGATCATGGGAGTATTTAAAACTGGATTGAAAATACTAAATCTGCATTTTCAATGCTTGACATTTCTTGGTCTGCATGAAAACTCAGAAACTACCAGTGTATTTCAAATATCAGAACTTCTTTGGAGTTTGTGGTACAAAAATGTTGAAGAAAAGAAGGGAAGCAAAAGAAAAGAGAAAGAAGAAAGAAAAGAGATGCTGGTTTCTTTCCATATGATTTATATGCCTTGATATGTTGGGTATACATATATGGATATTGTACCATCTTATGAAAACTAGATAGTTAGGAGGTGTCATAAAATGAGAAGCAAATACCATTTCACATAAAAAGCTTTACACGATACTTTAGTATAAGTTTGCACCAAGTTTATCTCCCTCTTCCTGTTTTTGAATAAAGCAAAAGTATGTTCTGCAAAACATCAACACAGATGACATT